AGGTTAAAATAGGAAATAAAATGCTTATATGGAAGAAGCGGGATTTATGGCGACTATCCAAGAATTTCAATGTGTGAATCGAGGGTTCAGACTCTAAAACTTGTTCGTTATAGAATTCAACTCTCCGATAGATTTTTATAATTTTTAAAAATAAGAAAGGATGTATGTAATTGTTATAAACCTTAGAGAACAATTTTGTAATTTACCAATAAACAAAATAAAAAACCTAATAATTAAGTAACAAAAGCATATTAGATTGCAGGCCCAGAAAAAGTCTAGTATAGATATGATGGGCCAATTATACAAATTGTGTCAAATGGAAGGTTTGTTGCATTTTGTATAAACAAATCGATTGAGTTTCATATTTTATGATTTTATCCCACCCAATTATAATATTCTTGCACGAGAGAAAAAAAAAAGACTAAGCTTTAGTCAGCTTATCTCAATTATAATGTAAATTATGTCTAACTTAACTTAAAATAATCTATAACTTCTTTCTTAATTGTTCATTCGTCTTCTCAAGCGTGCCCTGTCTTTCTCGAATTTCTTAATTAAACTAATTTAAGCATTCGTTCAAAGTTGACAACAACATGTAAGCATTTTCCCTATGCTCGGAGTACCAAGATTGCTTGTTCTCCGAACGAATTCCCAAAAGTCAACTAAGGAGAAGAGGAAGGGGTCCGATCACACCAATCTCCTTAGTTGCGCAATTAGATATTGTATAATTCAGACATTCAAATGTATCATGTTAAATTTAACTTTTAACTAATACACAATCCAATTCGTTTTGACCATTGACACGAGGTTAAAAGACAGAACAGTATAGTATATTAAAAACGACCACAATGTTCATAAAGTTTAATTATCATAATTTGACTTATAAGTATAATTAAAGAAACTCTCCAAACAATACTTATTTAAATATTGATTAACTACCAAATAATAATCTATACAAATTAAGTTGGCTTTAAGATTAATCAATTCCCATTAAAGTGACAAATCACAAAGCCTGATGTTGATGCCAAAACATAATCTTTCATTCTCAATTTGTAATGGTAATTAATTAAATCATCACATAATAGATGTTGAGAGCATAGAATGTGACTGTGTAACATAAAATTTGATGAGTTGGGTTAATTGTACTAAACATTACAACAATTTTGGTCTGGTGTGACTATTTATCTGACACAATAAAAACATATTACTTTATTTTAACATGATCTAATTAAAATGATTATTAATTGATTTAAAATAACAAAAGTTGGTAGAGACTCTTGTGCATGAAAGAAGTTGACAGGACAACTATATGGTTGTTGGCAACATCGTCAATCCCTTCTAAGATTTCTACAAGCAATTCCTACCATTTCTTGCATAGCAAAATTTACCATCTTGTCCCTAGCTTCTTCTCTAAGTTATTAAGATACGTTTTTGGTATACTATATTGGATGGCGAATATGTTTGAATAAAACAATTGATGAATTTTGTCACGTTTCTTTTCCTTAATCTTGTTCACTCATATCATGTCAGTTAATGTACTGCGCATACCCTTAGACCTTAGTGTATATTTATGGTCTGTTCTGGCAGGATTAAAATCTGATTTTAATTAAAGTCAAAGTCAAACAATTAATATTAACTATATCTTTCATAGGTCACACATCTTTTCAACTACACATTTTAAAAACTTTTATTACAATTCACTAAAAATTTAATTTTAATTCCCACCAAACACCATTTTAGCATACTGAATAATATAACATACAAAACTTTAGCTCTTTTATTAACCACCTTACAAAACATATCATACTTTTGGAACTAAGGAGGCAAAAACTACTTGATTAGTAGTAAACTAATGTGGGTCTTGACAAAATATTTTTAAAATATAAAATAAAAAGGGTTTTTACATATCCAATTCTTGGAAATTGGGAAGGATATTGATGGAAATTCAAGAAATATTTCTCTTAAAATTCCTAACTACACCATATGTCAACGAGTAAACTCACTAGCTCCGACCCTTTTGTCTACAAGGTACGACAATGAAGCTGGTGAAACTTGGACCTCATTAAGTGGTCTTGTATCCTTCAAATATGCCTCTGGGCTCTAACAACAACGTATATACCAGCCAAGTCCCTCTAGCTATAATAAATACCCTTATACATAAATTTGTATACCTTGAGAGAGTAGCTATAGATATATAAATTAGTTGCATAGGACCTTAGAGTGTACTTTTGTGGATATATTTCCTTATGCAATGGTGTTCAAGAAGATGATAAAATCTCCTTCTTCAAGAGCTCTTATTCTCAAAATTAACCTGGCTTTCTTAGCTTGTGTTTTCATCACCTATGCAGTTCTTCTCATTTGGCCTTCGCTCTCGGAATATCACCAGCACGCGTCGTCTATCGTTACGTGCTCGTTGCGCGAGTGCCATCAGAAGGTAAGGTGAGATAATTCGTGTTGTGTAGGAAATGCACGTGGATAGACTCATTCTACGGGGCAGCTTAATGTGAGGGCTTATTCCTTTTGTAAACGCCCCCAAAAAAGCTAAGCCAAGAAGAGAAGAAACAAGATCCATTAGGCTTTTTTCTTTTTTCAAGTTTCATGAAAGAATTAAGTTGAATAGTTCTACTTCTCGATCTTTCTGACTTATATCCCAATTCGGGTTGTTTTTTAGGCAGAAAACACCATTAAAATGAAAGCGGTTTTGGAAGAGCCACGCGCAAATCAACCAAAGACTCTTCGAGAGACGATGATCAAGAGGGAGACACCTAGTTTTCTAAACGACATAATTGGGAGAGGCAAACATATGAAGATTGGAATGGTGAACATGGAGGATGAAGACACTACTGAATGGAAAGCATATGGCCATACTACACCAATCCTCTTCGAGAAAGTTTCCGATTACTTTGAATGGAAGGACATATTCCCAGAATGGATAGATGAAGAAGAAGAAAGAGATGGTCCATTATGCCCCATCATTCCAATGCCAGATCTTGACAAGTATGGTTATATGGACATGATAGTCGCTAAATTGCCATGCAAGATTCCTGAAGAAGGGTGGAACAGGGATGTGTTCAGGCTTCAAGTGCATTTGATTGCAGCAAATTTGGCTGTGAAAAGAGGGAGAAGGGATTGGGCAAAGAGGACAAAATTTGTGTTTTTGAGCAAGTGCATGCCAATGGTCGAGCTGTTTCGATGCGATGATATGGTTAGACGAGAAGGAGAAGGGGAGTACTGGTGGTATTATACGCCAAATATGTTGAAATTGGAGCAGAAGATGTCTTTGCCTATTGGCTCCTGCGATTTGGCTTTGCCGCTATGGGGAAAAGGTACACTGCTAGCCGATTCTTCTAACATATTTTTACTGAGATTACGTCAGTCACTCGTATGCAAAACACATCTAACCACGAAGCTTAAAACTAAAGGAAAGAAATCCCATTATTAATTCCCACTCAATATTAGAAGCTTAGTGGAAAAATCTTATCTTGTTTGGTTTCTTAATTGCTAATTTTCAAAGGTTGGTGCTTCTTGTCCTTTGTTAATTATTCTAACCATGTAGGTTGCACCTTTCATTTGTTATACAACCATAGATTGATTACGTCGAAATGATTATTTATTATGGTTAAGGTAAACACGGCGTAAAAAAAAAAACTATTGAATTAAAGTCTCATCGCCACTCATTTATAAAATTCATACGTGTCATATTTTTGTTAAAAGATAAAATAGAGCTTGTACATATTTTGCTAAAAACAGAATATAAATATAAATTTCTCTCATATCCAATAAGTAGAGATGAAAAAGCTTGTGGGGGCAGCCCAGCCCCAGAGCCCAAGTGGACCATCTATGCATAGGGATCTCAAAATCCACCCACTCGGAACCCCACCGTGCCCCACCTCCAATGAGGTGGGTTTCCTTGATTAATGGCGTTATTGAGGCAGGAGTGCAGTAGGGGATTTCTCCCCCAAGTCAAGAAAGGGCAACCTGGGCCCAGCTTGAACACTCGAGACTCAGTTATTTATATAAAGATTATAGGGATACGCTACAAGTACATAGGGAGCACCATGTGTCCATTATGGACACCATTATGGTACCCCTCATGTACAAGAAGAATAACTCAAAATTATAATGGTTGTACATGGCCACATGGGCCCATACTGCCAAGGGTGCCAAGTGACGTACCCTAGAGGTGGAGGGCAGGTCTTCTACTCGTAACATGATTCTTTTTTATATAAATATATACTAGGCCCTGCATCCCCTTAAGCTAGGATTGGAGCAAGGATGGTAAAAATTCCTAGAGCGCAGAAGGACGAGAAGGGTCATGCCCAAGCCCGTTACCATCTCTATTTATGCTAGCAACATTTTTTATCTCTTCGTCTTTTCATAAAAAAATAACATAAAAAACCAATAAAATACTTACTTAGGCCCAATGGCTTGGCAAAAGGCACGTCAAGTCGACTTATTTGATCTTTTCATTAACATTTTAAGGTTTTAGATAAGTTAGCTCATTGAGAATCTCGATATCAGTCAAGAATATCCCGATGCATGTTATTTTCTTTTGCATATCCTTTCCCAGTCCTGTTAACGTAATTGAGAAATATTTGTTGCAGGGGTCGACAAAACATACGATGTTTCCAAAATATATCGCAACAAAGGGATTGAAAAACGAGAAGCCTACGCTACGATTCTCCATTCCTCGGAAGCCTACGTTTGTGGCGCAATAATCCTAGCCCAAAGTCTCCTCCGAACTGGAACCAAACGCGACCTAATACTCCTAATAGACAACTCGATATCCGAATCCAAACGAGCGGCCCTTGCCCGTGCCGGGTGGAAGCTCCGGTTCATCAAACGGATCCGAAACCCAAAAGCCGAGAAACACACCTACAACGAATACAATTACAGCAAGTTCCGTCTATGGCAGCTCACTGATTACGACAAAATCATATTCATCGATTCAGATATCATTGTCTTACGTAATTTGGATATTATATTCAATTTCCCCCAAATGTCAGCCACTGGGAACGATGTATCCATATTCAATTCGGGTATAATGTTGATCGAGCCTTCGAATTGCACATTCAAGATGCTGATGCGACGTCGTAAAGACATCATCTCCTACAACGGCGGCGACCAGGGATTTCTCAACGAAGTGTTCGTCTGGTGGCATAGATTGCCGAGAAGAGTCAATTTTCTGAAAAATTTCTGGTCCAACAGTTCGGTCGAGGCTAGTGTGAAGAACCAGCTATTCGGGTCGGATCCTCCAAAGCTGTATTCGATACATTATCTAGGGTTAAAGCCATGGCAGTGCTACAGAGATTATGATTGTAATTGGGATATACCAGATCAGCGCGTGTACGCCAGTGACGTCGCGCACGCGCGATGGTGGAAACTGCATGACGCCATGGACAAAAGCTTGCAGGAATTTTGTGGTTTAACGGAGAAGAGGAAGATTGAATTGGAATGGGATAGGATGAAAGCAAGAAAAATGAGATTACATGATGAACATTGGAGAATCAATGTTACTGATCCAAGAAAATATATTTGAATTTTTTGGGGGGGGTTTTCCTGTTGTACGACATCTTCTTGTTGTTAGTAGATACGGGATTTGTTATTGTCATAATTTATGTGTTAAAATTTTAGAAATTTGTTTTTGTTATATATAAGAGATGTTTATCTATTTTACATCCACTCTCGTTTAGAACAAATTTCTTCTTAATATAGCGCATGTCTAGACACAATTAAAATTACACAAAATTGGCTTTTTTGAACCGCTGCCATTCAAATTGTGGGCTGGCTGTGAGTAAACAAGTCAAAAATTGTGGACGGTTATTGTAGCAACAGTTGGAATTGTAATTATAATTGCGCACAGACAGGCTCATATTGTAGTCATTAACTCGTGAAAATTAACTCGAGCACTTGAAGGTGTCAAATGGAAGTTAGTGATTAATAGTCATTCGACTATCTAGTATATGGTGCGTAAAGAAAATGATAATCACAATCAAATCTTGACAACTAAACAATTGTAAAATATAAAAACATTGATATATAGATAGCGACTTTAGAACTTAGATATAATCGGAATCATCGACTATGGATATGTAGAGGAAAATATAATATTACATATTCAAATTGAAACACGCTATCATACACTCTCTTTCAAATTCAAATAACTTTTATCCTCACGTTTTGTTTTCGACATTATATTAATCACGTTGTTATGTCCAATGATCAAGATAAGACTCATTGTTTCAATTCCAAAGTTTAGATATATTGAGATCAATGGCTAATCTAATAATTAAAGTATCGATTACTTGCTCGTAAATGTCCTAATTTAAATCTTGAATATATAGGTCGGGAGAGCAAATTCACAAGTTCTTTAGCATTCAATAATATTATTAGTTGCCCTAATTTTGGCTTTACTTTCGGGTAGAGTTAGCCTATAGATGTTGACAATAACTAAGCCAAACTTTACTTGGAGAAACGATAAATGATTGGTACCTCCGTTCTTAACCTATACTATTAGAAAGGAATTGAAAACAAAGAGTATTAGTTGAGCAAACCAATTAATTAGGTATACCTAAAAAAAATAAAAAAAAGTTAGCACATGATGAATCAAATAGATTTGAAGAAAAATAATGCAAGTATTTTAACATTCTTTCGCTTAATTGTTAATATTATTTCACTACGCCAAAAATGATCATTTGCAACACATAAAAGGTAACATTCGGTAGTTAAATGTTGTTAAATGGTCTATCGCAACATTCTAATACGTGAATATTGCCATTGCTTAACAAAATTGAGTTTTGACAACATTTTTCAAGTAAATGTTGCTAATGTTGCCTTTTCGCAACGTTTTTTTTTGTGTTGCAAATTTTTTTTATTTTTTGCATAAGACAAAGCTTTTCGCAACGTTTAAAAAAGTTACGAAAGACGTCTTTCGCAATGTTTAAAAAAGTTACGAAAGACGTCTGTGAGTTTTAAGTGGTTCTCTAACACTTACTGGACTAGTGCTATTTTCGACATTTGCTAGTTGCAATCCTTTGACCCGGTTGCTTAGGTGTCTTGTGCCTATTGGTAGCCCTGTTGGTATTTGGATTGTGCTAGTTGATGATTAATTGTGTCCCTTGTTCTTAATCTATGGCTGGGGATTAATCTTAGGTGAGATATTTTCTAGGGCTTGGCTTATTTGGTGGAGCCCGTTCCTTTCTTTATTTTTCTTCTTCTCTGGCCTGACTCTGGTTCTTTTACTCTGCTCGTTTTCTTCCTTTCAACCAGCGTTCCCTAAGCCAATCCTTGAACCTTTGTAGGAGAAATACGTTTGCATCACTTAGACATGAAATAGGGTTGAGTGTGGGCGTTTCTTGAAGGCTTGGATAAGGATTCGGTTGTGTTTTCTTGGCTGATTTGGTAGACCATTTGGTCGATGACCCAAGCCAAGTATAGGGGGTTTCTGGCCGGTTGTTTCTCTCTCTCTGGACGGTGATTTGCTAAGCATGGAGGGGCTATTCCTGAGCCTATGCATTCGGCCGAAATGAACCACCGACAAAGGGAAGTGAAGCTCTATACTTTTATCCTTGTTTATGTACGTTTAATGTTCTAGCTTTCGGTTTCTATAGTTCATTTAATCTGCTGATTTTGTATACGTAATTGTATACTGGTTTGAGCGATTGATTGCTGTGAACTGTGGCTTGCAGTATGCTATGATTTTATAGTAGTTTGGTTACATTATGGTATGCTGGTTATGAGATTGGTTCTTGAACTGATATTGGTTAAAAGTGAACCTGTAGAACTCTGTTATGCTGAATATT